CTTGCTCAGAAAAAGGATCAACATGCTCTGAAGTCAGAGCACAAAAACCTTTTTGTAACAAAATATCGATTTCTGCTGTCCCTGTATCCATACATTATTAGCAAACAAAATATCACCATACTACACAGTATCCATTTTTTTCCCACCCCTACTCACTATCCTAACATCACTTATGTTTTCCTGTGGATCTTTCTCAAATCATTTTCTACAAAATCAGTGTTTGCAGCCAATTCTTAAATGTGCCCTAAGTGATTGTAATGGACGTTCATTGATCGATGCTGAACCCCTCACAACCAGGGATGATAAAAAAATTGCATCTTTGAAAGTCAGAGCAGACGGAAAATAGAGTTATATGTACCAAAGCTGCTGGGAGGTTTCCTTTTTCACTGTTTTATTTTTCCTCATATTGCATACTAGTAACTTTGACTTTCACACCCGACTTCAGGCTCCGGAGGAGTTGTGTTCCCGATCTCGCTCACAACAGCTTGAGCTGCGTTTTCTTCGTCAGTTACTTCATCTTCACTCTGCCACTCTGCAGAAGATAAAGAAGGAAGCGGATCAGCTGGAGGCGTCTGATCAAAAAGGTAACCAGGAGAACTTATCGGGCGATAAGAGATTTAAAGCATTTGCTTTAAACACAAATGAGGGCAGTGTTTGGTGTACACGTACTTAATATGTTGAGAAATTTCCTCAAAAAATAAAATGCTCAGTGGATTTTTAGTAACATGCTGCTGTCTGTCTGCGCTCTTAGCTCTCTTGTCCAGAGTCATGGAGGAGGACCAAAAGCTTCTTAAGTCTTTGGTACCAAAAGTCCGAGGGCTCACTCACCGCTGTGCACAGGGCCTTTCTTATGGGGACCAAGTCAAAGCCGCCATCTCTTATTGGTGAGACGCATCTTTTAAACCGATAACCTGTTATCATTATCATTTTAATTGCAGCTTAATCGAGATTTCTCCTTTCTAATCTGGGTGTATTTTTACAAATTGAGATCTGGGAATTACCTAGAGTGACACGGTTACCTGAACAACATCTGCAAGTGAATGGACGAGTTATCACTAAAAGAGTTTTAAACACTACTTCCTGGTTTAACCTTTAGACAATACTAAGATTATTCGTGCACACTTTTGTATGTGTTTTTCTTTCCAAATTTAAGTGATTTAGGCAGTTTTAATGATCTTTCATTGATTGTCTGACTAGGCTTTTGTTGCTTGAGTCCATTATGGAGAGATAAATGTACTTCTTTAACTGGTCTCCGTAATGCAATGGATAAATTACACCTGGTCAGTGATTCTGATTATTATTGACTGACTAACATCTCATTATTCCAGAGTGAATATACAGTCTTGGACTAAAGCTTTTTTTTTTTTAAACTTGTGATCTTCTAGATTTTCTTTTTTTTTTAAATGTAGAAGCTTAATCCAGGTACGGAAACTGGCTGATAGTGGTTTAAGTCATCTAATTATAGTTTTGCAGCTCAAACTATTAAAAAAAAAAAGACCATCTTTCTTAATTCTTTGGTAGTAAACGAAGTCTTAAACCTTACTGTTAACTTGCCTATCTACAGACAGGTGATTACACCATTTCTAAATGACTTCATGGCTTGAATAAAAATCAAAACAAAACAAAAAATAAAACATTCATGCCAGCACATCTATCTGAGGCCAATATCTAACTGAATTTATTGGCTCTAATTATTTCCATTCATGCCCTTGCTCAGTAGTGCAGCGTCTCATTCTCTAGTTAACTTCCCTGTTTTGTGTGTTGTAGGTGGGAAAGGTCGGCCCAGCATGTCCTTCCCGAGGTCAGTAAAGGAGGACTGACTTTTCAGCAGTGGTTACAAAGGTGGAAACTAGCAGCCAAGTCCCCATAGATTAACACTGTGATGGATTCCTTTCAGCACCTTTCAGTGGTAGAATGAACACTGTTGTAGATATTTAATGCACAAATTGTGTTTGTTTTTTCTGTCATTTGTCATCATTACTCCTAATGTCTTACCATGTGTAAATGAGTCACTAATAAACCCTTTCGAAGCAAAATAGTTGTTCCTTTCTTCTTTGCTTCCTCATATCCATTGAAGTTGTTTGAAACTGCCTCTGGCTCCTACATTGGAAAACAAAGCTGAATCCATTGTGAATGCCCTCTGAATGAGCCGTAGGTGTCTATCAATAGCCCTGTATCGATCTTTCTCACAGT